TCCCTGGGCTCTGAGTGGACACTCTGGGAAGCGCAGTGGCTAGACATCCTGGAGAGGTCCCTGGCTGCTTCTGCCCTGCAGGCCCCCTTGTGCATCTGAAGCCTCCCTAGGTCTGCGTTCTGCACAGAGGAGGCTGTGTGATTTGCTGGGGTGGGAGAGAAGTAGGAAACATGGGTATGGAAGCAGAGAGCCAGGTCTTGACAGCTCTGCCCTCCATCAGCCCCTGAGAAAGATGGGCCTCCTGGGCCTTGGTGTGCACCGAGACCTGTGCAGGGCGGTGCGCTCATGGAGGTGCGCCAGGAAAGGGCTCTGAGCTTCCAGCAGGGCAGACACTGGTGTGTGCTGTTGTTTGGGGCTCTGTGGAGAGTCTGTGTGCCCCCACCATGGAGGCCCTTGCAATGTTTGGGGTGTGGGCCCACTGTCTCTGCCTGAAGACCACCTCCTCAGAGAGACCCCATGAATCTTCCCTGCTGTGGCGACTTTCTGTGGTCCAGCTTGCCCTCTACTGTAGTCCCTCACCTGGTGACTGCAGGTCTCCCACTGACCTCCACCTGGCTATGTTCCCTGAGGTGGATCATGGCCATTCACTCACCCCTGACTCCAGCCAGTGCCCACGTGGGGCCTGGAGCCCAGAGGTGCTCAACAGGTGAACATGTGAATGGGACGTGGCAGGGGAGGCACAGGCGTGGAGACTGCTCTCAGGCTACTTAGGGGAAGAGGGCACTGGCCTCATCTCGAGTGTGCAGGGGTGGTCTGGGCAGAGAGAAGATGGTGCCTGGATGGGTGATCCTACAACCCTTCCCCTTGTCCTCCTATTAAGAAGCAGTGAGCCAAGCTGAAAAGCCCAGATTTGGTTTGGTAGTCCATAGGGAGCCATGGAAGGTGTGTGAGCAGTGGTAGAACAAGGCTGTCATTCTGTTTATTTATTTATTAGTTGTAGTTGGGCACAATACCTTTATTTTATTTATTTATTTATTTTTGCGTGGTGCTGAGGATAGAACTCAGGGCCCCACACGTGCTAGGCGAGCCCTCCACCACTGAGCCACAACCCCAGCCCCAAGGGCCGTCATTCTACCTGCAGCCCTGGTCTAGGCTTCGCCATGTGTGTGGGTTGGCAGATGATATGGCCCCTGGTTCCCTATCTAGTATGGGTTGGAAGTGGCAAAGCTTACTTACCAAACCCAGATTGACCTGCCCTGCACGGCAGGGACACGTGGGTCCTTACCTTGGTCCCCGCCTTGGTGGGGGGGCTGGCTGGCTGAATGCATCACTTCTGATAACTGATAGCTCCATGAGGGAGTTGCTGTTCTATCCCATTGTACGGATGAGGAAACTGAGCATCAGAGAGGACCTGTGGTTGGTTGGACTCTCCCTGGGGGGAGGTGTTTGAAGCACAGCGGGGAGAAACAGGCCCTGGCAGGGGCACAGGCAGGGCCAGGGGCTGGAGGTGTTGGGGGGGCACTCCTCAGGAGCCACAGGGGTGTACAGGCAGCTGGTGTGGAGGAGTGGGCAGCAGAGCTGACCCTGTGAGTGGCGAGGGTGGGGTGAGCCACGCAGCCCAGTGAGGGGTGGCACTGGTACAATGCCACCTTCTAACCTGTACCCATAGCCTGGGAGAGCGGGGTCTCTCGGAGGAGCCAGGCCTGGGACAAAGTGGCCCTGGCCTCAGTAGTGAGGCCCGCACGGGCACCCCTGGCACCACGGCTGCCTGCCCACCCTGCTCCCATTTGTCCTGCCCCCTTCTTGTCCTGCCTCTGCCAAGCTCCACCTGTGCCTGCTGCGGGCGGCGCTCAACAACGGGTGGAACAGGACGATGAAGGGATGCCTCTCCCCCCGGGGTCCTGAGGTCTGGGACCGGAGCAGGGAGGCCAGAGGGGCTGGAGGGAGCAGAAGACGCCCCAGCCACTGCTGACCTTGGGGAGGGCAGAGGGCATTGTGGGTAATGGAAGGGGTCATCCTGGTCAGTGGTGGACGGTCCTAAGCCCCTGCGAGTGGTCAACTTCAGCTGGTGCCATTGGAGGCCAGAGTGGTTCAGGGTGGGCCTGGCAGGGCCTGAGGGGCCATGAGGTTTGAGGCCCTGGTAACTGTGGGCCTCGCTGTCTGTCTGTCCTGACGCTCTGTGCTGTGGAGCCCAGTGGCCTTGCCTGTGACTAAGCTGGGTGCCCATCTGCCTGCCTGCCCACTGAAGGGTCAGTTGCATTCCCCAGTCTTTGGTGGAGAAGGGGCCTGCCCAGGCAGTACTGGTGGCTGGTGACACTGAGGGTGGCCTTGGGGAGTGGATACTCTTGGTTGGCAAGTCAATGCCGTGCCCCGCTGAGCACTGTTAAAACCATGTGTGTGGCGAGGGTGGTCTGCGTGGCAGTGGCTGAGCTCTGGGGACTGTCCTTGCAGCTGGCAGGTCTCAAGGTCCTTGGCAGGGAAGACAGGTGCCTGCCCCCTGGGGAAACCCAGGCTGGCTCCCTGTAGCTGTTTCCAGGTCACAGCCCATGCACCCCATGACCAGCCCAAGACCAGGCCAAGCTGGCACCACCTTGGAGGGTGGCTTTCCTCCCTGGCAGCATCTCCATCTATGGAGGAGTCCACAGGTCCCAAGAGGGTGAGTGTACACGGAATCAGGTGGCCCCTGGGTGATATGACTCCAGGCATCAGGAGCATGCCCGTCCGGCCTGCTGGCCAGCTCTTCCCTGACCACCTGCCCAGCAGTGCACCTGTCGGCTGGGCTTCTGTGCAGGGGCTTCTCACAGCCCCATGCCAGCCTTGGTGCCTGGGAGTGCCCAGAGCACACTGATGAGCTCGGCAGCTGCCTGAAGGCTGCCGATGCGCAGCGAGTGCCCCATCCCAGGATGGGTGCAAGATGGTCAGGTGGTGACCTTTGAGACCCTCAGACCTCGGGTGCTAAGATCCCGTGATGGGTTCTGAATGTTTCCCAGATTGGACCTCTGCCCAGAACACTGGGTTGTTTGTCCCTCCACAAGCAAGCGGGAGCCCTCTTGGTGCCAGGGCCCGTGTGGGAGGTGAGAGGAGGGGTGGAACTAAGGATCTCTCTGTCCCTCCTCCTGCTAGGCTGTCCCCTGGGACTGGGACACACCGAACTCTAAAGGCATGAGGCCAAGGGAGGGGGACAGTGCAGAGGTAGAGGGGCGGAGGGCCTGGTTGGTGAAGGGCACCTCTGTGTTGCAGGCTGCAGGAGCCGGGGGCCTTCCTGGGGGTGGGTGAGGCTGGCCTGCTCCAGTCTCCCCTCGGCCCCCAGCAGTGGGCAGACTTGGGCCTGCTCTGGGAGGGTTCCAGGAACAGCTCCTGTCATGATATAAATAGTCTTCTCCGAAGGACTTGGTGCTAGGCCAGCTGAGCAGGTGCCCCCAGGCCTCCCAGAGGTCCCAGGCATGGGGCGGGGCCCAAGGTGGGGACAGCATGCCTGCCTTATTTGCAGCAGTAGGAGCACAGTGGACGTTGTCCTGGTCCCAGCATTCCAGAACTCACTGGACTTTTCACTAAGAGACCCCTCTCCTGTGAGGAAACGGAAGGGGCGGGCAGCGTGCCCTGTGTGCTCTCTCCCAGAGGGTTGGGGCCAGGAGGAGCAAGGCCTGGGGCCAGCTACTGTCCTTCTGCCTCCTGGCTGGGTTACTTGGGCCAGTTGCTCAGCTTCTCTGTGCTGCTGTTTGGTTGATACAGTGTGGCCAATGTTGGTACCTTGCTGGTGGGGACAGTGAGTGGGCGGGGGCTGGGGCTATCTTTAGGCAGCAGGTGTGCAGATAGACCGTGGTCAAGGTGGGAGATGGGGGGCAGTGAGTGCTCAGAGCTGACCCGTCCCCACCTGTGCCTCCTGGGAGGTGCTCCGGTAGTGGTGAGCTGAGGGCATGGTGTGGGAGTCGGACCCCAAGGCCTGCCTGCTGTGCTCAGCGAACTCAGGAGGGGAGCCCTTGCCAGGAGCACTCACCCCAGGACTCCTGAGCTGGTGGGCAGGGCTACCTGGCTGGGGTCCTGTGGGTCCACCCAGCATGGGTATAGCCATCCCACCCCATGGCTGCTCACCCAGTTGGGGGTGGTAGGAGGCCAGAGTGGCAGACATGGCTGATGGGATGTTCTCTGGGTGTGTTGTGGGGAATGCCTGGAGGAACTGTGTTCTCTGCTGGCCCCTGGCCAGCCCGCTCTTGTGCTGACTGCTGATTGCAGGGGCCAGGCTGTCTGTCTGGGAGCCAGACTGGGAGCAGGGTTCCCAGCAAGGCAAGGCCCCTGGGGACCCTGTGTGCTGGGGGCTGCACATGCCCTGTTCCACAGTGATTTGAGGGCCTCTGGGGGCCAGGACAGGCATGGTGTTGACCACAATGCTAGGCTCCCCTCTGGGGCCCAGAGTCCCGGGAGCACTTGAGTTCCTGGACACGGTGCTCTTGAGAGGCAAAGCCAGGACGCGTTGGTGGGAGCAAGTGGGGAACCCAGGGTAGGGCTTTGGAGGGCATCTGCACAGAACCTGGAGATGGGTGGGGCTGGAGACGGCTCCCTGGCTGTCTTCCTACCTGGTGCGACCCTGAGGCGCTCCTAGGATCTGTGCCTGTTTCCTCAGCCATAAGCTGGGGATGATGTTGGTGTGAGAGTAGCCAACCCACAGGGGACAGCAGTGTGTGGCACATGGTGGGTGCTGTGCGTGGAGGAGTCTCTGGGTGTACAGCTTTCCATGTTGGGAGGCCGTCCTCGCAGTGCGCCTGGCCAGCTCCTCTGGACCTTCTAGAAGGGGACCCTGTGCAGCCCTCCCTCCTCTCTGCGCTAGGAGTCCTTGCTGGCTGTGGGGCCGCGGGAACCCCCAAGGTCCCAGAGAGGCCCTGGCACCTGGCCTTCCTCTCCTTGCCGGCTGGCCCCCTAGTTAGTAGCTGTGGGCGGGGGCTGGGGCTATCTTTAGGCAGCAGGTGTGCAGAGGCCCGGAGCCGGGTCGCCGGCCGGTCACCGCCCACCACGTGACGCCGGGCGCTATAAATAGCGAGCCGCTGCTCCGCCTCTGCCGGAGCTGGCGCCGCGCGGGAGGGCACCGCGCGGGTCTGGGCGCAGCACCAAGGCCCTGCGCATGGAGGCGGCGGCTCGCCTGCGGGCGCGGGTGAGCAGAGGGGGCGGGCGGCGGGACCCAGGCCCTCGGATCCTCCCGACCCCCCCTGGCCCTCCAAGATCCCAGCCCCTCCCAGAGGACGCGGTGACCTCGCGCGCGCCAGATGGGAAAAGCCCCTGGGCGTGCGCCTAGACCCAGTCCCCATCTGCCTTGTCCAAGAGGAGGCCTTACTTCTCCGGCTCCACAGGCTCAGGCCTCCCACCCTCAGTATCACACAGGGTCCTCGTATGCCCGGGCCCCAGCAGCCTGATAGATCCAAACTCCTTACGGCCCTTCTACCCGAATGAAGGAGGTCACTTCCTGAACCTCGGTCTCCTCTGTGCTGGGGTTTAGAGCTTTTGCGTCCTAGGTTTGAGGTTGAGGAAACCCATTCAGCTGGACGCCTGGTCTAGCCAGGGCCGAGAGTATCCTTCCATCTCTCTCTGGCCCCTTTCCTTATCTGGCAAACAAGGACAGAGTGGTTCTGGAAGTAGCAGAGGGCTCAGGGGCACTGCCCAGAGGAGGCTGAGCCGGGGTCCCAGGAAGGGAGGGCCAGAGGGAAGGAGGGCCTTCATGCTCCGCAGGGCTCATGGGCCTGTGTGGGCGTGGTGGGCGTGGTGGCTCAGCCAGCAGAGAAGCAGAGAAGCTGTGATGGTGGCTGGCGCACAGCAACTTGGGGCATGGGTGGCCTGTGCCGTACAGAGCTGGGGGCGGGGCTCGGCCTGTGGCATGCCCACTGCTGGTCCTGGGGGTCCTGCCTCTCTTCAGATCTGGAGTTACTGGCACTGGTGGATGGTAGGTGGCAGTGGCTACCCACATGGGCCACAGGCCTTGGGTCAGCCCTGCTGGGGGCTGTGCAGGACTCTGGCAGCCCGTAGCTTCAGATCCCCTTAGCCCTTGCCTCAGACATCACCAAAGGGATGTACTGGGGGGGTGTCCCCCAGGTAGGTCTGAGCCAGCTGTTTGCTCAGGCAGGGGACTGCACCTCCCTGCCCTGTGTGTGGAGCTGAGTGGCAAGAAACTAGTCCAGACTGGTCCAGCCTAGACCTGGATCTGTGACCCCATTCTGGCCTGGACTCTGAACCCTGACCCTTGGCCCAGCCCAGTGTAGCCCCTGATCCCTGCAGGCCTGTGACACCTTGAACCCTGGAGTGGTGAGAGGCTCAGGCCCTTCTGCCCAGAGACCTCGCCCTCGAGCGCCTGTGCAGTGGTGCTGGCCCACGGAGCAGGCTGCGTGCCGTTGCGCAGGTCTCCCTGTGCTCAGCCCTGTGGGCACTGCAGTTAACCCTCAGGAGAGGCCCCTGGAGTCTGTGGCCTCCTTGGGCCCTGTTCCTCCTCTCCTCTTGTCAACAGGAGTGTGGCTCTGGCACACAGGCGTGTCCCAGGGGCCTGTGTTTTTGTGCAGTCGCAGCAGCCGCTCTTCTCCCGGGGCTCAGGGTGGGTGCTTGCTGAGTGGGTTCAAGCTGGGCCCTGGCTGCCTCAACCAGGATGGGTTCCTCTGCCTTCTCCCTTCTGGGGTTGCCCCTCCCAGGACGCGTTGTTTTGATCCTCCCAGGGCCCTGGTGAGGGCAGCGTGTGAGCACCTGCCTTGAGCCTGGGGCCGTGGGGCCTCCGCCCCTGGGCCGGCAGAGGGGGTGAGGAGTCTGCACCCCTCCTGCACAGCCAGAGTTCCGGACAGTAAGGCTGTGCCCACAGCAGGGGCAGAGTCGCACTTCTAAGCCCAGGGCCCCAGGCTGGCCTCTCCCTGCACTCAGCCTGAGGGTCGGGAGCCCAGCCTCCCTGGGTGGGCTGGAGAAGGGGTGCTGGGTGGGGGCAGAGGTAAGAAGCAGGCTAAGGTGGATGAGGACTGTGCCCGGCCCTTTCTTGGGCAGAGGCAGAGACTGTGGGCAGACAAGCATGGTGGGGTGATGTGGCGAGATCTGCTGAGCACAGGGCACAGTGGAGGTCTGTGGAGGCTCTGTTTGGACGCTCACCGTGCAGGTGGGAAGCTGAGGCTGAGGCCATTGACAAGCCTGTGGGTGGGGAGGGGGCTAGGTGCCCCTGGGGACCCCTGGCCTAGGTGCTCTGGAGCTTTTAGACCCTGAGAGGGAGGGAGGCAGGTGTGGCTGGCCTTGTATCCTCCAGCAGTGCCCTTCCCCACAGTGACCCATTGTGGCCACCTGGGCTGTCACCACCGTGGCAAGCACCTGGCACTGGCCCTTGGCCTGCTGTCTGCAGAGCGTCTGGAGCAGAGTGGGCTTGTTTACCTCTGTGCCTGGCTGCCCCGGCTGTCCGTGGTCCATGGAGTGGAGACCCCCTGGGGCAGGAGACCATAGGAGGCCTGACAGAGGCTGCTGACTGAGGCAGCTCATGGCCTGTCCTCACTGTGCCCGAGTACCCACTGTGTCCCCATAGTTGGCCACTCCAGAATGATCTGTGCTCTGACATCAGGGGCCAGGAATCCCCAAAGGAGACCACGGCTGCTCTGGCGTGGGCCGGTCTGCCGGCCCAGGCTGCCGCCTGGGGGCCTGGTCCCTGTTGCCACAGATGGACCCATGAACTGCTTTTTGGGGTTCAGCATACTCTGGGGGCTGTCCTCCCTTCCCACGTTCCTCTCCACCCTGTCCTGGTGTGGGTGTCCTGTCACCCCAGGGCCCTGGGTCAGTCCTGGCAGCAGCTGTCCTTTCTCATGTCCTCACACAGGGAGACTGAGGCCGAGGAGACCTCTCAGTTCCTTCTCTCTCCTCCCCAGACGTTGCCTGCCAAGGCCCAGCTGCGGTTGATGGAGAGGCCCTCGGGGGTCAGCCCTGTGTACTGCCGTGCCCAGCATCTCCACCAGGCCTGCTGCTGAGGAGCCCCTGCTCTGGCCCTGACCGTTGCCCCCGCCCTCCCATGGCCCGTGCTGCCAGGCCTGGGGCCCTCGCTGCCGCCTGAGCCCCCTGCCCCCCTCCAGGATCCGCCGTGCCCCGATGGGGTAACGTGACCGAGGCCTCGAACACCAGAGGCCGCACCTGCCACAGCTGCTGCCTGCCACCCCCCCCCCTCCCCCCGGGGGCTGCTGGAGTTGGTTCAGTTCAAGTTCATTGACCTTTGGTCCTTGGGAGTTTGGGCCACCTTTGAGTGAGCGGGGCTCTTCACCACCCACGGATGCAGAGAGTGTCCCCCGCCAGACACTGCCCACAGCCAGACTCACTGTGGGTTTTCATAGTTGGTTGAGTTTTTTGGTGGTCAGTATTTTTGCCCACTTATAATTATCCAGCTCCGAGACTCAGGAGTTTGGAGTTGCCTATTTTACTTTGGGGGGCTGTTTTTATTCCTCTTCTTTATTTTTAAGGGTCAGGCTTTCTTTCTTTTTTAATTATCCAGGTACTGGGCAGCTTCCTCCCCCTCCCAAGTATTTGCACAATATTTGTGCGGGGTGGGGTTTTTTTTTAAAGAAATCCTTTCTTTCTCTCAGATAAGTACAGGGATCTCATCCTACCTTGTTTTGGGGGCTGGTGGGGTTTCTCTGGTGGGTGTCCCGGCCCTCTACCTGCTCCTGGGGAGGAGGCATGGCGCGTATGAACCGACCCGCCCCCGTGGAGGTGAGCTACAGGAACATGCGCTTCCTCATCACGCACAATCCCACCAATGCCACCCTCAGCACCTTCATTGAGGTGAGTGGGCCTGAGTAGATGGTGGGGGGGTGTCTAGCAGCTTGGCCAGCTACGCTCAGAGGTGTGGACAGGCCAGAGCTGGTGGGATGGACTACGGCTGTCAGCACCCAGCCCTGTCACCCGGTTACAGGACCTGGGAAATGGAGGGGTGTCCTGGTCATCAGGATGAGGGCTCAGGGTGTGAACAGGTCAGTGTGTGAATAGGTCAAGGACACAGTATGTGACCAGGATGAAGGCTCAATGTGTGAACAGGACGAGGGCTTGGTATGTGAATAGGATGAGACAGGGCTCAGTGTGTGAACAGGATAAGGGTGCAGTGTGAGAGCAGGATGAGGGCTCAGGGTGTGAGCAGGATAAGGGTGCAGTGTGAGAGCAGGATGAGGGCTCAGGGTGTGA